ACCGCCGAAACATATGGGATGGCCCCACCCCCGGCAGCCAGCACATGTGCAGGGCGGCCCCTATCCCTGGCGCGCGAGTGGCCTCACCCCCGGACGCCCGGCAGCCACGAAAGGTTGGGGACCACTGTCCTAATGCATTAAGAAGAGCATTGTCAGCAGATCTAAAGAAGTGATTATTCCCCTTTATTTGGCACTGGTGAGGCCACATCTGGAATATTGTGTCCAGTTCTGGCCACCCCACTATAGAAAGGATGTGAATGCATTGGAGAAGGTCCAGTGGAGGGCAACCAAAATGATTAGGGGCTGAAGCACATGACCTATGAGGAGAGGCCAAGGGATTTGGGCTTATTTAGTCTGCAGAAGAGAAGAGCGAGGGGGGATTTGATAGCAGCCTTCAACTTCCTGAGGAGGTTCCAAAGAGGATGGAGAAAGGCTGTTCTCAGAAGTGACAGATGGCAGAACAAGGAGCAATGGTCTCAAGTTACAGTGGGAGAGGTCTAGGTCGGATATTAGGAAAAACTGTTTTACTAGAAGGGTGGTGAAATACTAAAATGGGTTACCCAGGGAGGTGGTGGAATCTCCATCCCTAGAGGTTTTTAAGTCCCGGCTTGACAAAGCCCTGGCTGGGATGATTTCATTAGAGTTGGTCCTACTTGGTGCAGGTGGCTGGACTCTATGACCTCCTGAGGTCTCTTCCAGCCCTAGGATTGTATGATTCTATGTGTGTGCAGAGGATTTGAGTGGTGACCCAGGACAGGGGTGGGTGGTGACCTGGCGTAGGGATTTGGGAAGTGGGAAGGGTTGGGGTGTAGGCTCTGGCCAGCAGTCCCTTATGTTAGGCGGCTCCTGCCAGAAGCCCAACAGGGTCCCCAAAGCAGGCTCCTTCTTGCAGCAGCCCTAGACTGCTCAAGGAGGTTCCCTCCATGTGCTGCTCAGGTCCCCAGTCCCTCCCTGGGAGAGAGGGCAGAGAGTTTGCATGCCACCTCATCTCCAGGGCAATCATTGGAGCTGGGAGAGGGACCAGGGGATGGGGGAGTGCATGAATTCTCTTGCCCCCCAACTAGGGTCACACAGCACCTAGAAGAAGTGGCCAGCCATTTTGAATAGCTGGTGTGTGAGAATCTTTGCACTCCAGTCAGAGCCTGGGGGAGCACATGAAGTCTCTCGCCCTTGCCCCCTC